TGAGTGAATGTGTGTGAAAGGGGGAATGTGGCACATAGTGTAAAAGCGCTTTGAGTGGTCAGAAGACTAGAAAGGCGCTATACAAGTACAGGTCCATTTACCATTTACCACCCACTTCCAATTTAATTTAAGCCCCACATCCAGTTTTTCCCCTATCCCAGATTGCGAATACAGATACAGATAATGGTGTATTCGCTCATAACTAACAAATGTCAAATTACTGCTGTTTCCTTTAACTAAACAATTCACGGGTGTAAAATTGCTAAAATTGAAATTCCAAAATTGCTACATGTAACCCCTGCTAATTAACAAATAGCAACTTTATTTTTATGTAACCTTTAGAGATGTTGTGCCCCTCACATTTTACAAACTGCATCTTTTAAAAAGAAACATTTCAAAGAGAGAGCAATACATACTGTATATTGTCAACTTACATCAACAAATTGCCCGCATGATTTAGGCATGAAGAAAAGAATTTACAAAGGAAAAGTTGTGTAAGAATGTTGGATAGCCGCTTGGTACCGTTAAAGATCATTTTTATCCATTGTAGATTGTGTTCTATCTTATAACACGACGGTACAGGGAGGCAACAACACATACATCCACACCACATAACATAAAAAATAAACACCATAATTCTGTTTTTTATGTTTTGTTTTTTCCTGGTAAATAATTTGTTTTTACATAAAAAATGTGTATCTACATTTTTTTCTTCTCATTGCAATAGACTTCAATAGTATCTAAAATCTATCCATGTTACAGTTTTTTGCTTAAATTGTCATTTGTTCTTTAGTGTAGAATGGATGGATGACTTTATATTTTAATATCTCTAAAGACAAGGGAGAAGGTGAAGAAGGGGCGGGACCTATGAACATACTACATAGGAAATGAGGGTGATGAAGGTGACAGTGTAAGTCAGTTGCCATGTCCATGTAAAGGCAGTACGAAGCGGTCGGGCGGCATTAGAGCTTTTGGCTGTAAGGAAGGGATGGGGATATACAAACAATGAGCAATATACATGCCCATCTACAGAAAAGAACAGAAGAACTCTAACACTGACAAGTCTGACAAACCCTAAACTGCAACTTCTTAGCCATGCAATTCATTTGTTTTTTGTCTTACAGTCAAAATATTATTCAGCAAAGACTAAATTGTTTTGTCAAAATAGATTTAAAAAAATCAGGAAAATGGAAGATATGGGAGAAGTGGATCTGGAACTGCTCCACCTACTAATTTGTGGGCTTGGGCATACATAAAAAGAAGACGTTAAGTTGATTGTGCTGCTGTTTTGAATTTTGACTCTTTTTACATACAATATTTCTCAGGAAAGCACACTATGGCCAATAAATTACACAAGTTAGTCAGTGAAGTAGTTCCAAATGCCAAAAAGTCAAATTATATCAAAAAATATTTCACACTCTGATCTAAAGATTATCT